GTGGGGCGCCTCTTCTGTCCTGAGTGCTGTAACTGGAAACACTGAGCATACCACATAACTCAGAAAGCCAGCATAAAGCACTGGGCCAAAGGGGCCATTCCCGTGAACCCAGGAGATCCCAACGTAGTCAGAGTGACCCACTTGCACCAGGAATGAAGATGCAGAAGCAAAAGGTGAACTCCAGAAAAGTAGCTTTGGAACATTTTGTTTGCTCTTATCAAAGCTATTTTTAAAGGCATTTGTATTTGGGGGGTTCTGTGCATTAGCACAGGATCACAGTCCCTGTGCAGCTGCTGTTCTGATGCTATTCAATCTGAAAAACTGGTAGGAAAGAAAAAACAAAAACAAACAAAAAAACATACAAACAAAGCCAGCCTGGGAAGATTAGTACAGGCATTCAAGGGAGACAAGACGCTGGGATCTGGCTCAGTCAGAACTGTTGGGTTCGCATCCACGGAGAGAGGGCACATCTTGTCATCCCATCACTTGGAAGGTGGGGGGGGGCAGGAGGATCCAGAAGTTCAAGGTCATTCTTGACTGCAGTGTCTATTAAGTCAGTGTTGGTCCTGTGGCGCTCCAGGTGGATGGCCCTCTTGGCTCTTAATCTACCAATCCTCCCCAATTTGTGAGTCCAAGGCAATTTGGAAAAGCTTGAGGCCAGCTTATCACCCATCAAGCAGGGTAGAGTGTGTTGCTTCTGGTGCCCCAGAATTTTGACTAAACCTCAAAGGTGATGGGAAGAGGGTAAACTTCCTCTCTGGTGATGAGGTGGTCAGGCTTGTCCCTTGACCACCTGTAACTCTCAACCTCCAGCCTATACATGATAAGGTCAAGATCTTATCTAGAGGTTTCCCTGACAGGCTTATCCTGTTCCCCAGGGGCCAGGCGACAACCTCAAAGCATGCTTGGGTTTGAGCCACCCTGAACAGACTGAGCCATGGGGCTCTGGGAGCTGTGAGCTGTGGGGTGCTTCCTAGGGCTAGGATGGAAACAGGTAACAGGTACATGGGAGGTCATCACTCTGTGCCTTAACCCTGACACAGGTCCGAGATCTTTCTTTCTTTCTTTTTTTTTTTTTTTTGAGACAGGGTTTCTCTGTGTAGCTTTGGAGCCTATCCTGAAACTCCATGGATCAGGCTGGCCTTGAACTCACAGAGATTTATCTGCCTCTGCCTCCCCAGTGTTGGGATAAAAGGTGTACACCACCACCACCTGGCTCTGGGTTCCCAGATCTTTAGATCTCTAACGATTCCTTGTGTGCCTCTTGGGTCAGCAGGTGGGTGGCTGGCAGGACACAGCGGGGCAGCCGATACTCTGTGCCCATCAGTTCTCAGACAGAATGGTCCCTTTCTTACCCAGCCCTGCACAAGATGGAGAGCAGGCAAGGAAGGAGCTATCCACTCCTACCTGGAGCCCGCTGCAGACTCCTGAACCATCTGGGTTCTACAACCTCCGCTATATAGTAAGCTACGGGGACCCTGGAGAGAAGGGATGGGGCACGGAGGGAGAAGATTTCTACTGACTCTACCCACCACCCACTAGTTAGGACTGCAGACCAGGGCATGGCTAGCAAGACTCTCCAGGAAGACTAGAGAGACAGCTTGGGCTGTGAGGGGAAGGGTGATGCCCAGAGCAACCATAGGGATGCTTGTGAACACGGCCTCAGGCCCCTCAGCATGGGCATCATCACTCTGTGGGACTAGGTACCTGGAAGCAGGTGTGTCATTGTCTCCCATGCTCACGCCAGATTCCTCTCCACTGTCTACTTTCCATGGGCTGCGTCTAATGGCAGAGTCAGAGCACATGGTACTTGACGGCTAGAGGGATTCTGAAAGAGGACTTCAGGACCGACAAGATGGCTCAGGGGTAAAGGTGCTTGCCCCAAACCCTGATGACCTGAGTTGCATCCCCGGGGACCTGCATGGTTGAAAGAAAGGACTACGTCTTACATAGACACACAGCCCATATGTGCACACCTGTGCATGCACACACACGTAAATAAGTACAGATAATATATAAAGATTAATAAAAATTTAAAAGTCAATTCTGAAAAAAGAGCATTTCTCCTATAGAGAGGTGGCATCCATAATGTGGGTTGTTTTCAAACAGGACAAAGATGCGCTCATAGTTGCCTGCCAATTGATGACTTATGATTATTTTTGTCGTCTATGCTTCAGTAGAAATATATTTGATGACAAGTAGAGAAGCCATTTTGGAACGATATCAAATTCACTCCCACCATCACTATGGACTCCTGCTAAACTCCTTTAAGAGATCTGTGGGTGGCCGGGGAGTGGTGGCGCACGCCTTTAATCCCAACCCTCGGGAGGTGGAGGCAGGAGGATCTCTGTGGGTTTGAGGACAGCCTGGTCTATAGATTGAGTTCCAGGACAGGCTCTAAAGCTGCACAGAGACACCCTGTCTTAGAAAAACAAAACAAAACAAACAAACAAACAAATGAAAAAACAGAGATCTGTAGAAGACACTGGGACCAGAAAGGCCACATTTCAGGGTTCCAGAGACAGGAGAATTTAAGTGCATGATCTGAAAATAGCATTTTTCTAGCTTGGCATAACTGGCAGATTTAGATACACCACAGGGCAAATGGCTGAGAAGCCACTTAGAAAGTTCAAAAAACAAAACAAAACAAAAAAACAAAACAAAACAAAAAACCCCCAAAAACAAACAAACAAACAAAAAAAACAAAAACAGTTTTCAAAAGTCTTGCTATCCTTCCCAGGGGTCAGGGCAGAGGAGCAGGGAGAGGAGCTTTTGAAAATAAGGAAGGCGGTGTCACATTTGAAACAGAAACACACCCTTCATCCAGCTCAGCCAATGGAGCTGTAGTTATACCCCATTTCTCTTCCGGGTCAGGCAGTGTCATTTAGATTATATATGTCTCATACACAGTATCTGGCATAAAAGAGAAATTCAACAAGGCTCACTAAGAATTAGGATCATTGAAAACCAAGAGAAACATAGTCACTAGAAAAAGCCTCGTAGGCAGACAGGCGCTGAAGTCAGAGAAGGTTGGAAGGTAACAGATATTAGTAAGTTCAAGGGAAACGGGGAAAAAAAAAAAAAAAACGGAGAAAAAAGGAAGGGAGACAACTTTGTGGTCCAGCACGACTCTAGAGACTTCATTGTGCTTAAAACTGATTGCCTGACCTCATTATGGATAAAGAAGGTTTTGCATGTGTGGCGTTAGGTAAAGGGTTCTGTCACTGAACAGCACACACACCCAGCCCAGCGGAAATGTGGAACATCGTGGTGGTTCAACTCTGTGTGAATTCTAAAGCCCATGGCTCAAGTCTTAAAACAATCAGTTTGATCCAACTTGGCTGCCAGTGGTGTGCATTTTCTTCCCGCCTCAGGTGGCTCTCTCTAGGGATGGCCGACTTCAGTATTGCTTCTGATTCCCACACTTCTCCTAGCGCTGCTTCCTAGAATCTCAGGGATGGGAGAAGAGGATGCCGTTTGCTAATGTATTCTCTCCCCAAGGGGATTTTACTATGTTGCCAGGCTGACCTCAAAGCCCTTTGTTCCAGTAGTTCTCCCGCCTCAGCCTCCCAAGGGGCTGGGCTTCAGGTACACACATGCCACGCCAGGCTACTCATTACTGAAAACACAGCCTGTGGGCAGTTCATTAGGGATACTATCGGATCTGTCAGTCAAAGATGGCAGACCTGCTTGAGACGACATTTGACGTCACCCTGAATGACCAGGAAAAAAGTGAGAGAGAAGAGAATTAGGGTGCAGTGTGGTCTGGGTAGAGTTTGTACAGAGAACACTAACTTAATCCGGAGTTGCTGTAGCTCCCTGGAATGAGCCAGAGAGTAAATATTTTAGCCATGCCAACTCTGATGCAACCACTGGCTTTACAGAAGGAGCCGTGCACCGTGCAAATGGGTGGTGGTAATTGTGAGGTTGCAGCCTCCCCAGCTGTCCATGTGTTATCCTGATGGATGCTGTTCTCCTAATAAAGCCCCTTGGGGGTAATTCATCTTAGTTCCTGTCTATCTAAACTATAAATTTTTTTTGGGGGGGCAGGGTCTGACTATGTAGCCCTGGCTGGCCTGTAATTCACTATATAGACCAGCCGGACTCGAACTCCCCGAGATCCACCTGCCTCTGCCTCTTTAGTGCTGGGATTAAAGGCGGGCACCATCACACACAGTTAAGAAGAAAGGCTGTCTTTTATTAATTTATAACAGACGGGTGGAGAGTACTTCAGCGAGTATGGACACGTAAGTTCAATTCCTGGAACCCATGGTGGAAAGAGAATTGAGTTGACAAGGTGTCATCTGACTTCATAGGCACGCTGCGGTCCTCGCGCCTCCCCCCTCTCGCTCACTATCAATTAATAAAAAGCGTATCTGTAACAGAGGCACTGCAGTAAAACTTTATTAACTGTGAATTTCTTCTATTTCTCCCCTTTCTTGCCACGAAGCATCCTTCCCCGCCCTCAACATCTTTAAAATGTACACGGGTGTCCTTTACTCCTTTACCCTGGGCGGCTGACAAAGGGTAGGGTTGGTAGCTGGGGTTAAGACTCCACAGGCCCTTGTGGGACAAGGTGGCAATTGCCAGCAAGGCAAAACCTCCAGTCTCTCTACAAATGGACTCTAGCTAGATCAGGCCCAGGTAGTCGTCATCCCCATATCCGCCCCAACTCAGGGAAGCCCATTAAGGTCTGCCCCCCCATCCCCCACCCCGCACCCAAGCCACGAGAAGACACCCGCAAAGCCAGGCGGGGCGCGCACAGACTCGGAGCTCAGCAAGCCCGGCGCGCACCTGCTCCCGGGCCCCCGCGCACCTGCTGAGCTGCGCTCCGGCCTCGTCTCGCGAGATCCAGGCTGGCGTAGTGGCCCCCACCCCCACCCCGGCCACCAAGTACCTCTCCCCGCCCCCGGGCCCGGCCTCCCCGCCACCTCGGGGACCAGCCCGCCTCCCCCTTCCCACCCCCCACCGCATCGTAGCGGCTGCGCTCAGCACGCGAGCCCCTCAGTCCCGAGGGACCCCGCCTCCCAGGCTGGAGGGTGGCCCTGCGGGCAGGTGCACGCGCCGCCTGCCGCCAGCGGGTCCCAGGCGCGCCCGGGGTGGGGGGACCCGGGGACCGGCTGCGCGCACGGCGCTTCTCGGCGCTACATCCCTCGCTCCGCTCCCCACCCCGCCCTGTGATTGACAGGCAAGATGTCGGTGTGGAGCGAGGCAGGAGCCGTCACCCCTGGAGCCCGGCGGCGGCAGCAGCGGCGGCGACAGCGGCGGCAGCAGCGACAGTGGCGGCAGCAGCAGCAGCGTTGTCGCGGGGAGCAGACCGCAGCCAGCCGCAGTGGGCGCCGCATCCGCGCCAGTCGTGCGCACAGCATCCTGAGAGCGCGCTGAGCGCGGGGACCCGCGGACCATGCCGTGTCACCGCGACCGGGAGGGGGGCAGGCGCGCTCCTTTTTGACATAAAAGCCAGCCGGCCAAATAGATTTATATACGTATAATTCCGCCCTTCACGGAGCCGGTGTGCGAAGCGTGAGCTCTATTTCCCTCTGCCTCCTCCTTCCACTCCTCCTCCTCCCCTTCCTCCTCCTCGCCCTCCTCCTCTTTCTCCTCCTCCTAAGTGTACAGACTGCACCCTACCACCTGGTTGGCTTCTGACAAACGGGCATCTCTCCCTTTTTAGGGACCAGAGACACAGAGAAAGAGAGAGGAGAGAGACAAGGGACATCCTAATGCAGACTGCCTGATACTCCCCCCCAGAAAATAATAATAAATTTTGGCTCTTGTCCCCTCCTCCAACCCCCACCCCCTCAAGCTTGTGTGAGATGTTGGGTTTCTTCAGGAGACACTGCTGAGAAGTCGCAGTGGTTGGAGAGGCGTAGGGGGGTGGGCTCCCTCTACCTCCACTCCCTCCCTCCCCCTTTTTTTCTTTCTGGGAGGAGGTGGAGGAGGAGGGGAAGGGGGGTTGCAGAGCAAGCGATGGATGAGGAAAACATGACGAAAAGCGAGGAACAGCAACCTCTGAGTTTGCAAAAAGCCTTGCAGCAGTGCGAGCTGGTTCAGAACATGATAGACCTGAGCATCTCCAATCTGGAAGGGCTAAGGACGAAGTGTGCAGCTTCCAACGACCTCACGCAGAAGGAGATCAGGACCCTGGAGGTAGGTGCTGCCTGGGATGGGATGGAGGGGGGGGGCAATCCTTCCTTCCCTTCCCCTTCTCCAGTCCGTCCCCATCCCTTTGGGGTTCTGTTTGTTGAGGGAGGGCCCTGGGAAGGGAAGGCTAAAGCAGGTGGGCACGAATGAGGCGCTATGATTTTTCACCTGGCGAAGCCAGCGCGGATGTCCCTTCCCAGTGCGGCTGTTGTCTGCTCGGCCGGGTGGCGGTGGTAGCAGTAATAATTGCTGTTCTGTATTTATTATTATGGGTTGTAGCTGTTGCCATGATTATTATTTTTCCTGTGAAAGGAGGAAGTTCTTTACTTTTATTATTATTATTTTCTTGTTCTTTTCTTCTTCTTCTTTTTTTTTTTTTTCCGTTTGGGGGTTTGTTTATGTGCCACAGGGGGCTAGTCTGCTGGTGACACATTAAGGCGCTGCAGGGAACCCACGTGACCTTGTGCGTTCTGCAGGTGGTCAAAGGTGGTTTTGACTGGTTTGATGGGGCTGCCTGAATGGAAAAGACTCGACCCTTTGCTCTGTGTCTTACTCCTCACCCCCATGGACACCTTAGGAAACCAGATGCATTTGAAAAATAAATCCTCAGGGAACTACTCATTTCTAACACAATCACAATCATTTGACATACCAGGGCTGATGAAGGCCCAAAATGTGTAAAAAGAAACAATATTACGGTTGCCTGGAGTGGTTCTTGCACTAGGTGGCGTGGGGAAAATCCTCCTGGGTTGTCTTGGTGAGACTTGGTGGATGGGGTTCCAGGAGAAGGCGCTATGTTTGGCTCTTGGCAGCATCTCTTCAACAGAACTTGATCGGAGTTGGAAGCAGTTTGCTGAGAGCCGGTGACAGGGATGGATGGCTACAAAGTTGCTAAAAAGAGATGGAAGGATCTATTTTCCTTCAGAGGTCATTTTCTCAAAGGAAGCTTTCAGGATCCGGGAAAAGGCCTGATGCTCTGAAATCCTTAGGCAACCACCTTGTTCAAAATGTCAGATGGGTCCAGCCCCCTCACCTTCCTTCCCACAAAATGGCCCAGCTGTCCACATTGCTTGATTTAATTTGGGAATTCCCACTAGCTGTCATTTGCCAGGGGTTGGTGGCTGTGGAGCTCAGAGCAAAGGAGGGTTTTCCCCTTTTAGTGGTGTGGCCATGTATCATGGAGCTTGGTGCTTCAGCCGGTCTCTAGCTGTGAGTTCCTGACTGGGTCATCTGCATGAATGCGCCTCTCTGATTCACTTTCAGGCCTTTTATTTCTCCAGCATGCTTTTAAATTTGGCCAGATAGTCGGTATGCAGAAGGCTATCGTCTGGAGAGAGGAGTTTGTGTGTGTGTATTTCAATACAGCGCTTGTCACCCTCGGATATATGTCCGTGCTCACCTGTCAGGTGGTAACACGATCCCAGGGATGAAATAGGATAAATGATGATGTGGGAAGTTTGTTGGGAGGCACAGGCATTACCTTTCTCAGAGTTTCAAGAGAGAAGGCTTGGCTAACGATTGCTGCTGCAAGAAAAATATGGGATGTGTTAGTCCAGCCCCGGTCTCTGCACGGGGCCCACAGCAGATTTTGTAACTGGGAAAGCTGACATAGATAATCCCTGAAGGCCACCACCCTCTGCTCTCCTACCCTCTGTCACCAAGAACCACCACGCTGGGCTGAGTCTTACCCTTTCTCATATCTCATATGTTTCCTTTTACTTCATCTTTTGATGACTCCCAAGGGAGTGATGATTGACACAGCTGGGCACTCTGTGGCTGGGGCTGGAGCTCAGTGGTTCAGCACTTTTGTAGCACTCCCAAAGCCCTGGGTTCAATCCCCAGCACAGTGCAAACACACAAACCAACTGTGGACACTTGGCTCCTTTTTGTCTCTCTGCAAGGTGGTTACCATTTGAAACTGGGGGACAGAGGTGCTAGTGTGTTGGTCAAGAAGTTGGAATCATAGTTGTCTTAAGGTTTCTGTTGCTGAAATAAAAATACCATGACCAAAGCAAGTTGGGAAGGAAAGTGTTTAGTCAGCTTACATTTGCACATCACAGTTCACCATCAAAGGGAGTCAGGGCAGGAACTCACAAAGGGCAGGGACCCGGAGGCAGGAGCTGATGCAGAGGCCATGGAGGGCGCTGCTCACTGGTTTGTTTCCCTATGGCTTGCTCAGCCTGCTCTCTTATAGAACCCAGGCCCACCACCAGATCCCACCTAGGAACCATATCACCCATAATGGGCTGAGCCCTCCTCCATTGATCATTTATTAAGAAAATGCCCCACAGTGGGAACCCAGTTGAGTTTCCTTCCCTCGTATGACTCAAGCTTGTGTCAAGTTGACATAAAACTAGCAGCACAATAGAGAATACGTCTTTCTCTACGGGTTAGCTGGATCCATGTTGCCCAGTGTCTGTTCTGGAGCAAATATGCCAGTTTCAACTTTCTGACTCCCTGGGACCAGGGGGTAAGGGAAGAGGGTTAGGGAGGGTATGATCCTGCTAGAATTTACATTCACTGGGTTTTCTACCTTAGTCTCACAGGGGTGCTGGCTGAAGTGTGGGTGTCTAGCATCTAAGGGCCACATTCTAATTTAGCTGGAATTGGAGGGAGGGCCCAAGAATCTGCATTTAGTAAGCAGACAGTGTGCTTCTGTGTGTCATTATTCTTTGGTGGTGCTGGGCATTGAACCCGGGACCTTGTGAATGCTAGACAAAGGATCTACCACTGACTGTAGCCTCAACCCCCGGGCTTCTGATTCAGGTTTTGATAGGGTCACTTTATGAATTACTTATCTAAGCTGGGCGTGGTGGTACACACTGTAATCCTAGTACTCGGGAAGCTGGGGCAGGAAGAGGGAGAGGCCAAGGCTAGGCTGGGCTTCCAGTTAAAAAGAAATAGGGCTGGGTTGTAGCTCAGTGGTGGAGATCTTGCCTAATGTGTCCTCTTCAGCCCCCAAATAAGAAACACACAAAAACAGAAACAACAAATCGCAACAACAAAAGTAAGTCCTAATGTTGTGTATCAGCTGTTTATTTTTGTTTTAAATTCATCTTGACTTTTATTACTGTGCGTGTGAGTGCAAGTACACACTCTGCTTTGGGTTCCGGGGATTAAACTCAGGTCCTCAGGTTTTCAAGCAAGTGTTTTTACCCACCGAGTCAACTTGCCAGCCCATATGTATATTTAGGTGATTTGTTTGGCTCATGGCTCTGGTCAAGGTCGGTGGGCTGCATCTGATGGCATCCATCTCTCAGGCAGAATCCCAGGGTGGCTCACAGCATCCCACATTGAGAGGCAGGTTGGTTCCCTGTTGTTTCTGTTATTTAATGATGACAACTCACAGACACCAAAGTTACTACGAGATTGAATAGACCATTCTGAGGATATTGGTGACAGTTAGTGTGTACTCTTCTAGAAACAAAAAATACTATAACATGAACTTGGCCTTCACAAAGCACGCTTCTTGGGTAGGGAAGAAAATTTCCCACCATAGCAAAATGACAGTGAAGGTCAAACACTCGATCCTTTGGGAGACAGCAGAGGAAGGACCTGGTGGCCTTTCTGTGATGGTTACAAGATGGTCCCCATAGCTCCAGCTGTCACATCTGCATTCAAGGCAGGAAAGAGGAGACCTCCAGGAGTGTGGAGAGATGGAAGCTTCATGTTTTTGGCTTCAGGAAACAAAGGCTTTCCCACAGTAACATTTCTTCTCAACAACAATTTTCAGTCATGTTTTCTTGGCCATAGTAGGGTCACATGTTCTAGCTGCAAGGGAGGCTGAATGGAGGAAAGAGGGAAATCCATCATTTTCCTTGCTGGGATGATCCCATATAAAGTCAAGTTTCTGCTCTCATGGACAAAGGTACCAAAGGATGCTGGGTGGGCCACAAAAATGGGTAACACCAGTCCCATATTTTATTGGTAGATATTTTGATGGAGAAGAAAGTCCATGCTATGGAGTTTGAGGCAGGTTGGCTTCCTAGTTGCTCTGGATACAAATGGTAAACATTTTAACCCAAACTGATGATTGTGAGATAAAACTTCCTTCCTCAGTGGGTAGTTGTAAGGATCACCAAGGGTGACACTTTTTAAGACACTAACAAACTAGAGTGCCAGTAGGTACTAAGCAGACAATTACGGAGGGGCAGATTATATTCATTAATTTTCTTCTTGTTGCGATGGAATACTATTGGAAATTACCTTTTTTGTTTTTTGAGACAGGGTTTCTCTATGTAGCACTGGCTGTCCTGGAACTAGCTCTTGTAGACCAGGCTGGCCTCAAACTCACAGAGATCCGCCTGCTTCAGCCTCCCAAGTGCTGGGATTAAAGGTGAGCTGGTCACCACTGCCTGCCTTGGAAACAACTTTTTAAAAGTTTGTTGTTATGTTTTGTTTTGATTTTTACTTATTTTGTACTTTTCCACCTTTAAAAAAAATGAAATAGTATCACACTGTTCTCTCCCATTCTCCTTTCTCTCTCCAGCCCCTCCCAGCCACCCTCCTAGATGCAAATATTCATTTTGGCTTATTATTTACAAAGGAACACATGTTGGGCATGGTGGCATGTGTTCATGGTCATGTTCAGGCCATAATCCGGAAGCAGAGAGCAGGATACAAAACTTCAAGAGTTCCCCCAGCGATTCACCTCCCTTGGCAAAATGCCACCTTTTAAAGCAGCGGTTCTCAACCTGTGGGTCACAAACCCCTTTGAGATTTCATTTCAGATATCCTGCACACCAGATATTTGCATTGCAGTTCATAGCAGCAGCAAAATTATGAAGCAGCAACGAAATAATGTTGTGTTTGGGAGTCACCGCAACATGAGGAATCGTATTGAAGGGTTGCAGCATTAGGAGGTTGAGAACCGATGTTCTAAAGGTCCCATGACATTCTAAAACAAGGCCATCAGTTGGGGGCCAAGTGCTTAAACACAGGAGCCTTGGGGGGACCCTTCACATTCAAGCCACAGCAGTGATAGTGTTTGGCAGGAGATGGTGTAG